CTCCTTTCTTAGCTTAGTTCAGTACAACCTGGGGTGAAATGTAATTGCCACTTTTTGAAGTGGCCTTGGATCACATAAAATCTTCTCTTGCAGGCATGCTTCTTGGCTAGTACTTACGACACTTGTACTCATTTGTACTGTGTCCATCTTCTGATGGAGACTGAGGGCAGGACTTTGTCCTATTTTTTTTAATAGAGATATATATATATTTTTTGCTTTAGGCTGTGTACGCTTGCCAGAAAGAGACAGAAAGGGAGAGATCAGCCCCTAGGGAAGATGACCATGTGCAATCCCTTCTCCATTCTCCTCTCAGGATTCTGGCATGCATGTATGTATGACCGGCCTGTTTCAAGCCTTCGGTAGGAAGCTCAAACCACGGTCGGCCATGTGGGAGTCTAAGGACATACCCATTTCACCATCTGCTGGCCCCAGAACTTGGTCCCATTTACCTTTCTATCCCCATACTAAGCACACACAAAGTAATGCTATTGAGCAAGGGCATCTAATAATCCTAGGCTGTCCATGTAGTCTAGTGGTTAAAGAAGCTACATGCTGGGGCCAGCAGGTGACATGGTAGTTAAGGACACTGGACTCCCATATGGCCATCTGCAGTTCAAGTTCTAGACCTGGCACTTTGCTTTCTCACTTTCTCTCGCTCTTGTTTTCACTCCATCCTTCTCTGGTCAAATTAAAATAAATAAATAAAGTTAAATTAAAAAAAAAAAAAGATGTTAAATCCCATATTACCAACCGTGGAACCAATCCCCACCATGGTGCCTTGGGCATGTGTGTGCAAGCCTCAAATCCCCACAGGCTACATAAATGGAAGAGAGACTGTATAAATGGAGGAGAGACTGTAACCACACCCCATGGGGGCATGATTTCTCTCTGTCCTTCCAACTCTCTCTGGCAAGAGGAATTACCCTCTGGCATAGAAAAGAAAACCAGGCACCAGCCGGTGGTAGTAAGGCAGCTGAATAGCCAATAGCCCAGCTGGCATCCAGACTGCATGCCTTGAAAAACACGGGTGTGCATGTCCAAAATCCCAGGAGAATGGAGAAGGGACTGGGACAAGTGACTTCTCAGAGAGCACACATGCCCTATAGCTAAAACAAAACCAAAAACAAACAAACGAAAAAAACAAAACAAACAAAAAAGGTTATCTTCAAGAAGTTCTCGTGTCTTAGGTGTTCAGATAGGGGTTGCTCGGTCCTAACCAGAGTTGGAAGTAACGGTCCAGAAGTTTGGACTGGAAAGGTTACCACCGGTTGGGGGTGGGGGATTCCAAGTAAAGAAAATACTGAAGAGGCCCAGGACTAAATAACAACTTGGAAGTCCTTTAATGCCAACTACGGAGTTGCATTTTTACAGAGAAGGCATGAAGAGACATGACAGGGGTTTTATAGGGCAGTGACACTACCAGACGTAATTTTATCAAAGTTCCTTACAGGTTGGCGTACAGGCCTAATTGCTAGGGAAGGGAAGTAAGGAAACCAGCAAGGAGGAGCTCCTAAAATCCCCCAAAAGGCTCCATTGCAGCCAATGAGTGCACAGGAGCTTGAAGGCGGAAGCCGCTGAGAGAACGCGAAGTTTTGTTTCCAGTTTATGAACAAGTTGGCAGCGCAGGGAGGATCCGGGGGAACCGTACCGCACTGTAGCAAGCTCTCATTGGCTTCTGGGAAAGCCACTCTGAAGGTTAAGTTCTCGCGAGAACTTCTCTCCAGGGACTCTCACCACGACGATTAGGCCCGCTGCCCAGCCCAACAAACTTGCAAAACAATCGTGTGCTTCCATTGCTTAGATGGGTGAACCATGCTGGTTTTTTTTTTTTTTTTTTTTTAAATATCAGGCCTGTTCTTCTTTCGCCTTCCTCCCTTTTGGCGTTCTCCTTGGAAAAAGCTGAGTTGTGCTCCTAAGGGCACACGGGTCGCTGGGAAACAGGATGGCCTTTAACGGGATAGAGGCATCGACCTCCTTGCCCTCCTTTGGGCTGTGCTGCCCCAATGACTTGTTTCTGGAAACAGTCTCAGGGAGGCGGGGGTTCCCTGTGTCCCTAGGCAGTGCGTCTGGGTCGGGCCTTCTGCGCCTGTACTAGACAGGTGAGCAACATTTCGCCCGCGCCGTCTCCATAGCAACTGCGCTCAGACTACCCCCTTTCCTTCTTCCAGGTAGCTTGCCCTTCCCCCGCAGCGGATGCACTTTTAGAAATATTTCATTTATTTATTTATTTATTTTCCATTTGACCAGAGAAAGACAGAGGTTGAGAGTGAGAGGAAGGGAGAAAGCAAGCCACCAGATTCAGGACTTGAACCCTGGTCGGCCATGTGGGAGTGTCCAGCGCCATAACCACCATACACTTGCCAAGCCTCAAATCCCCACAGGCTACATAAATGGAAGAGAGACTGTATAAATGGAGGAGAGACTGTAACCACACCCCATGGGGGCATGATTTCTCTCTGTCCTTCCAACTCTCTCTGGCAAGAGGAATTACCCTCTGGCATAGAAAAGAAAACCAGGCACCAGCCGGTGGTAGTAAGGCAGCTGAATAGCCAATAGCCCAGCTGGCATCCAGACTGCATGCCTTGAAAAACACGGGTGTGCATGTCCAAAATCCCAGGAGAATGGAGAAGGGACTGGGACAAGTGACTTCTCAGAGAGCACACATGCCCTATAGCTAAAACAAAACCAAAAACAAACAAACGAAAAAAACAAAACAAACAAAAAAGGTTATCTTCAAGAAGTTCTCGTGTCTTAGGTGTTCAGATAGGGGTTGCTCGGTCCTAACCAGAGTTGGAAGTAACGGTCCAGAAGTTTGGACTGGAAAGGTTACCACCGGTTGGGGGTGGGGGATTCCAAGTAAAGAAAATACTGAAGAGGCCCAGGACTAAATAACAACTTGGAAGTCCTTTAATGCCAACTACGGAGTTGCATTTTTACAGAGAAGGCATGAAGAGACATGACAGGGGTTTTATAGGGCAGTGACACTACCAGACGTAATTTTATCAAAGTTCCTTACAGGTTGGCGTACAGGCCTAATTGCTAGGGAAGGGAAGTAAGGAAACCAGCAAGGAGGAGCTCCTAAAATCCCCCAAAAGGCTCCATTGCAGCCAATGAGTGCACAGGAGCTTGAAGGCGGAAGCCGCTGAGAGAACGCGAAGTTTTGTTTCCAGTTTATGAACAAGTTGGCAGCGCAGGGAGGATCCGGGGGAACCGTACCGCACTGTAGCAAGCTCTCATTGGCTTCTGGGAAAGCCACTCTGAAGGTTAAGTTCTCGCGAGAACTTCTCTCCAGGGACTCTCACCACGACGATTAGGCCCGCTGCCCAGCCCAACAAACTTGCAAAACAATCGTGTGCTTCCATTGCTTAGATGGGTGAACCATGCTGGTTTTTTTTTTTTTTTTTTTTTTGAAATCTCTAGCCAATCAGGCCTGTTCTTCTTTCGCCTTCCTCCCTTTTGGCGTTCTCCTTGGAAAAAGCTGAGTTGTGCTCCTAAGGGCACACGGGTCGCTGGGAAACAGGATGGCCTTTAACGGGATAGAGGCATCGACCTCCTTGCCCTCCTTTGGGCTGTGCTGCCCCAATGACTTGTTTCTGGAAACAGTCTCAGGGAGGCGGGGGTTCCCTGTGTCCCTAGGCAGTGCGTCTGGGTCGGGCCTTCTGCGCCTGTACTAGACAGGTGAGCAACATTTCGCCCGCGCCGTCTCCATAGCAACTGCGCTCAGACTACCCCCTTTCCTTCTTCCAGGTAGCTTGCCCTTCCCCCGCAGCGGATGCACTTTTAGAAATATTTCATTTATTTATTTATTTATTTTCCATTTGACCAGAGAAAGACAGAGGTTGAGAGTGAGAGGAAGTGAGAAAGCAAGCCACCAGATTCAGGACTTGAACCCTGGTCGGCCATGTGGGAGTGTCCAGCGCCATAACCACCATACACTTGCTGGTCCCCCAGCAGATGCATTTTTAAATGTCGCACTCTATGAGGTGGTTTAGGTGGGAGCTGAGGGTAGTATAACCTTAGGCCTGGGGAATCAGTTGAGTTGATGGATCTGGTGACTGTCTTAGAACTAGATGTCAAAGGCAGAATAAAGCAATGCCCAAGACAATCTAATGGCACAGAGGACAAAAGACCAACCCAAGTTAACAAGACCTGAGGGTTTTGCTTGTGGCCATCCCTCTACACCACTTTCTACACTGGACATGTGTCGAGTCCACGCTTCAGACAAGCAGCAGTTTATTGGCAAGAGGACGTACCATATGTGGGCCTTGGATCTTCGCTGGTGTCTTCTCCCTCCAGTCTAACCCAGCCCAGCCCTTCCCCAACCAGGTAGTCTCTGCTCATGGCCACTGGGCTGGGCATGGCATCCAGAAGGGATGTCACAGGTGCTCCTTCCACTTGTTCTGCCAGTGTCCAAGTGTTCACATGGGTTGGGACCCTCAAGAGCACAACTCTGAGCTCTGTCCAAGAATGCCCTCCCAAGAGTATGTCCAGTTGGCCTGAGGCTAGGGATAGATACCTACCACAAAACAGTACTTTATCAGGATGATCACTATGTCCCTGCCTCATTCTGTCGCCGCTAATTTCAGAAGTCCCACTGCTATAGTTTATAAGGTCAAAAAAACAGGTTTGACATGTAGGTCTCCCAGGACAGGGCTGGGAAGGGTCAGTTCTTAACCGATAAGAGGCAGCAGGAACGCAGGTTTAAGAGACCTCAGGCTAAAGCCAGTTTAATTCATTCAACAAGTGTTTATTGAGTGCCTACTAAGTGCTAGGCAGTGTTCTAGAAGCTGGGGGTACAGCCCATACTGGCAAAGTCCTGACTGAGCCCAGCCAGGACAGTTTCCTGAGCTTCAAGGTTATTGTGTCCAAATCTATCTACTCACTCCTTTCTCCCGTTTCTTCCCCTTCTCCCACCCACCACCTCCCAAGCCCTTTCTTTGCTTAAGCAGCAGATACCCTCCCTTTGGTCTCCTGGGACTCACCCTCCCCGAACCCCATCATTCCAGTTCTGTTGGTGGCTCTTCCTTCAGGGGCCTTGGTCGACCATCATGCCCTATGGCAAAGGGCTTCAGGACCATGTGCCCCCGCTGGTGCTTGATTCGGGCAGAACTGTCACCAAAACCCTTGCCACACTCTGAACACTTGTATGGCTTCTCCCCAGTGTGTGTGCGCCTGTGTTTGACCAGATCCGAGTTTCGGGGGAACTCCTTCCCACAGAAGCCACATACATGGAGACGGCTGGGTCCAGAGGACTGGGCCCGGACTCCAGCTCGAGGGGCTGAGGGTGCTAGACCAGGTGGGTTATGTGGCCGTAGGAGAGTGGATGGTGGTGGTGGCTGGGCCCGTTCACGGTGGGTGCGGAGGTGCTTGACTCTGGCCGAGCTGTCAGCAAAACCCTTGCCACATTCAGGACAGAGGTAGGGTTTCTCCCCTGTGTGCACTCGATGGTGTTTCACCAGGTCAGAGGTTCGGCGGAAGCCCTTGCCACACTCGGGGCACTTGTGCGGCTTGTCATACTCCAGTGGTGGGGGTGGCTCCCCTGCCTGGGGGCCCCCAGGCTCTGACCCCAGGCCAGGCAGGCCAAAAGGCCCATCACCTGACCGTGAAGGGCTTCGAGGTGTCAGCGGGGGGCTGGTGCCAAGAGGAGGTGGGGGTGGGCTGGGGATCAGAGTGGGCAGAGGGTAGCCTGGGAAGCTGAAGTCCTGGGGCTCCATGTGAGTGAGGCGGTGGCGCAGAAGGGTGGAGCTGAGGCTGAAGGTACGGTCGCATTCTGGGCAGGCATGGGGCCTCTCACCGCTGTGGGTACGGAGGTGCTTGACCCGAGCAGAGCTGTCAGCAAAGCCCTTGCCACACTCAGGGCATAGGTAGGGCTTCTCTCCTGTGTGAACCCGCAGGTGTTTCACCAGGTCTGAGCCCCGAGCAAATTCCTTCCCACACACATCACAGCCAAAGGGCTTAGGCCCCAGGTGACTGCGCTGGTGGCTCAAAAGGCTACAGCCGAGCACAAACCTTTTGCCACAATCAGTGCAGACATATGGCTTGATCTGGGCCTGGGCAGCTGCCAGGGCTGCCTGAGATAGCTGCCGGCGGGGCGGTGGCTGTGGGGGCTGCTCTCCGGGGTGTGTCCGCTGGTGCTTTATGCGGGCAGAACTGTCGCCAAAACCCTTGCCACAGACGCCACATTTGTAGGGCTTCTCACCAGTGTGGGTCCGCTGATGTTTCACCAGGTCAGAACTCTGGCGGAAGCTCTTGCCACATTCACCGCAGATAGTGGGGCGCTCACCAGCAGGCATCCTGGGCCGAGCCATCTTTGAGGGACCCTGGGCTGGAGGCTGGGCCCTACAAGGCTTCTCACCACTATGAGTTCGCTGGTGTTTGATACGAGCAGAACTATCCCCAAAGCCCTTGCCACAGACCCCGCACTTGTAGGGTTTCTCTCCAGTGTGGGTCCGCTGGTGTTTCACCAAATCTGACATCTGCCGGAAACATTTGCCACACTCACCACACACAGCGGCCCGATCACTACTTGCCTGGCCCCAATGTGATTCTCCCAGGAGCTGGGGGCCTCTGTCCCGAGGCTGAGGCTTTCCTAGCTCCTCTCCCTCAACCCATAAGTCATCCCAGGTATGGATGCCTTCGTGTTTGAGAGAGGCATTTCCTACTTCATGTACTGAGATCAAATCTTCTTCTTCCTTGAACCTCAAGTCAGCGTCCTGTGGACTCTGTTCAAAGTCATCCTGATCAGATATCTCCACAGTTTCAATCCCTAGACCTGGGGAAAAGAAAAGGGAATTGTAGACCCTGCCCTTTGGCTTAGACTCTTATCTTTCTTTTTTTTTTTTCTTTTTCTTTTAGATTTTGTCATAAGGTGCATGTGCTTTCCAGGGAAAGATAGGAAAAATGAGAAATTACTCCTTGGGGGGAATGGCCATACCACCATCCCTTCTCTTCCATTCTCTTCTCAGGATTTTGGGGAGGCATGTGCATGGTTCCAGTGTGATTTTCAAGCTGCCAGGTCTGGGACTTGAACTATGGTCAGCCATGTGGGAATCCAATGCCTTAGCCAGCACATCACCTGCTGGTCCAGTTTTTTACTTATTATTTTTTTTTAAAGAATTATCCTATCTAACTGTATTTATTTGTTTTATTTGACTGGAGAGGGAGAGGGAGGGAGGGTGGAAGGAAGTGAGAAAGCAAGCTGCCAGGTCTGGGACTTGAACTGCAGTTGACAATGTGGGAGTCCAGCACTCTTAACCACCACACCATCTGCCAGCTCCCACAGCCTCTGTTTTTAGTAACACTTGTACATAGCACTTGATGTGGTACTAGGATCTCTTTTTCACTATCCCGTGAACTTCTGAGCCTGTAAGGGTATGTGCGCTTGCCAGAGAGACAGTGAGAAAGCATGAAAGCATTCCCATAGGGGATGGCCACATTGTAATCCCGGCTCCACCATTCTCCTCTCAAGATTTTGGAACACACACGTGTGCCTGGCGTATTTTCAAACCACTGAGTCCAGATTTTGAATTGTGAACTGGGAGACCCAGTCGTCCCAACCACCAACTGGCCATAATAACTTTTTACTATGCTCTTAATAAATAAAAATTCCAATCACTATGGGACCAGCAGTTAGTGTAATGGCTATGTCGCTGGATTCCCACATACGTGACCGCGGTTTGCATCCCGGACCCGATGGCTTAAAACTCATGCCGGCCTTGTCTTCCGGGCAAGCGCCCCCCCCCTTTTGAAAAAAAAAAAAAAAAAAAAAAAGAAAAAAAAACCTCTTAAAAAATCCAATCACTAAACTAAGCATTACTGAATTCTTGCAACAATCCTGTAACCTAACACTACTAAAATACTCATTTACAGGCATGGAAACAGAACATTTAAGTCACTTGCCAAGGTTATATTTAAGTAGCAAAGTCAGGTTCCTAACTCAGGCCTTCCTAACCCCCAAACCTGTGATAACTACATTACACTGTCTCTATTTGGAAACCAAATACTATTGTATTGTTATATAATCCTACTCTGTAATTCACTATGACAAATCATTCCGTGTGTACCTGAAAGGAACAGACACACATCCATCCCTCTAGATGCTTAAGGTTGGTAAACAGTAAGATAAAATATCAGTAATTATTGTATATGTGTGGGGGAGGGGCCAGTCAGTGGCGTGGTGGTTGGGGCAGCTGGATCCCATACGGCAAATTGTGCAGTTTGAGTCCCAGACCAGTCGCTTGGAAAACATGCCTAACACATGTGCATGCATGCCCAAAATCCCAAAGGGAGGGAGAAATGGAGGAGCGATTGCAGCATGGCCATCCCCCATGGGGATGCTTTCTCACTTTCCCCCACTCTGTCTTTTTCTGTCTCCACTGAGCACACACAGCCTCTGGCAAGTTTTTTTAAAAAAAGAAGTACTTATGGGTTCTGAATTATTGTGTTGTCACCAAAGACAGCAGAAGAGATAGGGACGAGAATTCACAGCAGAGCAAAGAAAAACTCAAGGCGAGGAATGGAAGATAAAACTGTAAAAGAATGTTGCGACTAGCCTGAGCATGCAGGGTTTGGATTGAACACGGGGCTAAGGCTTTTAATTAGTTGACACAGGGACGCTAGAGAAGGTTTTTGAGAAGTCAGGATTAGACCTGGACTTAAATCAATCTGGCTGCCTAATTGGAGAGAAAAGGGCAGAGGGGAGGCTCTCGCAATTGGCAGGATGTGAAAATGAGGCCTGAAGTAGGGCAGAGGCCCTGAGGATGGTGAAGACTGTGGGGGAGGGGGAGTCCTTGAGAACTTACCCCTCTCGGCAAGGCGCACAGTAGGTGTTCAAAGAAGATGGCCTCCTCCCTCAGTTTTGGCTGCCCTCCCTCTCTCCCTGGAGGTACAGCTCCCGTCCGATTTTTCAGGGTCTTGGCCTGGCGGAGCCCCGAGCCCCAAGAGTCCCCGCCCGGCCGTTACCTGTCCATGGCGGCGCGCAGCCGCAGCCCTCACCTGTGCCGGCGCCTCTCAGCTGCTCCCTCTCCTCCGGGTCACGGAGATCCGGGTCCCAGGGCTCTACCGCGCGCTCCATCTTCCGCACACCGCCCTGAACAAGGGGACAGACACATAATCCTGCGGTCACACTGCCATGTGCGGCCCGCGGCGCCCAGCCGCTGGCCCCTTCCCGCCCGGCCC